GTTTAGTTTATTATTGTTACTTATAAATTATCATAGGCATTCTTGGAAATAATACATGTTCTAAACTTGAAAAAAAGATAGTGAAAAACGGCACGCACACACTACGGCACTCTAGTTTTCTAATAGACTGAATTATTGTGCAGCAAATTTATGTTTTTCTAAAACAACAGTCTCCAGGATATTTTAGATCCCCTGAGTATATGGCAAGACCTCCACGCATCCTTAAGTATATGGCAAGACCTCCACGGCCCCTTGAGTATATGACAAAAACGCCTCGACTACTTGAGTAAATGGCAAGACATCCACGCACCCTTGAGTATATGGCAAGACAACCACGCCCCTTGAGTATATGACAAGACAATCACGCCCCTTGAGTATATGGCAAGACAACCACGCCCCCTTGAGTATATGACAAGACAACCACGCCCCTTGAGTATATATCAAGACAATCACGCCCCTTGAGTATATGGCAAAACAATCACGCCCTTGAGTATATGGCAAGACAACCACCCCCACTTGAGAATAGGGCAAGACAACCACGCCCACTTGAGTATATGGCAAGACAACCACGCCAACTTGAGTATATGGCAAGACCTCCACGTCCCCTTGAGTATATGGCAAGACAACCACGCCCACTTGAGTATATGGCAAGACAACCACGCCCACTTGAGTATATGGCAAGACTACCACGCCAACTTGAGTATATAGCAAGACAATCACGCCCCTTGAGTATATGGCAAAATAATCACGCCCCTTGAGTATATGGCAAGACAACCACGCCCACTTGAGAATAGGGCAAGACAACTACGCCCACTTGAGTATATGGCAAGACAACCACGCCAACTTGAGTATATGGCAAGACCTCCACGTCCCCTTGAGTATATGGCAAGACAACCACACCCACTTGAGTATATATCAAGACAACCACGCCCACTTGAGTATATGGCAAGACTACCACGCCCACTTGAGTATATGGCAAGACAACCACGCCCCTTGAGTATGTGGCAAGACAATCGCGCCAACTTGAGTATATGACAAGACAACCACGCCAACTTGAGTATATGGCAAGACCTCCACGTCCCCTTGAGTATATGGCAAGATCCCTACGCCCATTTGAGTATATGGCAAGATCCCTACGTCCCCTTGAGTATATGGCAAGATCCCTACGTCCCCTTGAGTATATGGCAAGATCCCTACGTCCCCTTTATATAGCTAGACCACCAGGCCTCCTTGAGTATATTATGTAATGTAGATAAAGATGGGGGAACTGATAGAGATAGTAAAATAAGTATACCAAAAACAAGAGTAGCTTCGATAGCACCAGAGAATTTCTTTAGGTCAAAAGAAATACTATACATAAAATTGTTAATTCTAATGTCAAATCAGTACTTTTCAAATCGTGATTAATAAGAGGACAGATTTCGCAACAAGAGAAACAGACTGTATGGAGATACGTTTTGGTCAGAATGTGTTTTTTTTAATTAAATACGCCTGTTATCATTCATATTAATTAGTATTTTAACTGTAGGTAGACAAACGGCTTATTAAAATAAAATACTTCTTTGCTTTTTCTTTTATAAATAATTGTTAAAGACATTTTATTTATAATTAAACTTTAAAAAATAATATAACCGGTTAGGTCCTATTCACGTTTCCTGGCCAATCTACACACTTTCTCAGTCTGGTCTAAGTTAGAGGGGTGTGACGTTGTACTGGTTTTTTGGAAAAAGAGTTTCTCGTGGGACCTAGGCTCAGGTTGTGGGTAGAGTGGGATTAAGTTAGAACCGGTTCAAGATGTTCTGGGGTTGTTAAAAGCAGTGACGTCGTGTGGTATAGAAAATGCGACATCAGTGGTGGTGTAATTGTAGGCAAGACAACATGACACCCCTCTGACGTAGAACAGTCTCAAAAAGTATGAATGAAAGGTCAGCCAGTGTGTAGATGGCCCGGAAAACGTGAATAGCACCACCGATTATGAAACATACAAATGCACTCAATTTTTAAATTGCTTGATGTCCCCCTTGAAACCGTCTCTCGCCCCTCCCAAGATGAAAAGTTTGGAAAGCACTGGTCTGGGGATTTTGTCTTTACTGACAGACTATTAGAGTGCTCGAGTTACTGTGTGGGAATTCTGTTCTGGGCGGCAGACTATTAGAGTGTCCCTGAAGGATTCCATTCTGGCAATCATCGCATTCATCCCAGGCATTACACGTCATTATCATTCTGGCTATAAATTATCGCCCTTGGTTGCTTCGAATGAGGGGACAGGTTGTCCAAAAAAAAAATTTATTCAATTTCTTTCGTTTTTCATGTCTGTCTGTCTGTCTGTCTGTCTGTCTGTCTGTCTGTCTGTCTGTCTGTCTGTCTGTCTGTCTGTCTGTCTGTCTGTCTATGTGGCTGTATGCGTGCCTGCGTGTGTGTTTGTGTGTTTGTTGTGTTTGTGTGTGTGTACGTATGTGCCTGTGTATGTATGTGTGTCTGCGTGAATGTCTGTGTATATGTGCGTTTCTGTGTGTACATATCTATGTAGGACTCTGTATGTCTGTATGTATATGCCTGTGTGTGTTCGTCTGTGTGTCTCTCTGTGTGTATTGCCTCTGAGTGTGTCTACATGTGTGTAGGTATGTGTGTCTGCGTGTGTGTCTGTGTGTGTTCCCATGTGTATGTATGTCTGCGTATTAGGTAAGTATGACACTTGACAACTTGAGTGTATGTTCACTTTTTCTTTTTCTTCTTCTTCTCCTCCTCCTTCTTTTTCTTCTTCTTCTTCTTCTTCTTCTTCTTCTTCTTCTTCTTCTTCTTCTTCTTCTTCTTCTTCTTCTTCTTCTTCTTCTTCTTTCCTAAATATTCTTCCTTAAAAAAGTAGCTGCCACACTGTGTTGTGGTTTACAGCTAAGATGCGATATCTGCGCCTTTCGACCCCACACATCCGATTTTCGTTAGACTCCTAATTAGTCATCTCTGACGACATGCACTTTATGGGCAGTGAGCCCACTGTGCTTTTTTTAAAGTGGTACCCTACGGTGTGCAGTACCGGCATCTGTTTTAGGTAACGTTTCAGCACTATTGTAATAGCTACTTTCTGTTTAGTAACGGCAACTTTCTTTAACACTTTGTGGCGAGAACTAGAAGTTATTATTGTTATTATTATTATTATTATTATTATTATTATTAATATTATTATTATTATTATCATTATCATTATCATCATCATCATCATTATTATTATTATCATTATCATTATTATTATCATTATTATTATTATTATTATCATCATCATCATCATTATTATAATACTTATTATTATTATTATTATCATTATTATTAAAATTATTATTATTATTATTATTATTATCATTATTTTTATTATTATTATTATTATTATCATTATTATTATTATTATTATCATTATTATTATTATTAATATTATTATCATTATTATCATTATCATTATTATTATTATTATTATTATTATTATTATTATTATTATTATTATTTTTATTATTATTATTATTATTATCATTATTATTATTATCATCACTATTATTATTATTATTATTATTGTCATTATTATTATTATTATTATTATTATCATTTTCATTTTTATTATTATTATTATATTATTATTATCATTATTATTATTATTATCATCATTATCATTACCATTAATATTATTATTATTATTATCATTATTTAATGAAAAAACGCCCTGGTCTAATCTGTTTTACTCCCAAAATGAGACGCGGATTGCATACTGGAAACTGCTTCTTTCTGTTGTGTATTTATATTCGCAACTGATCTGTAATGCTTTCAGTTCCAATTGTCTAGTATGTTTTGACATCTTTCTCATAGGCTTTTTTAAGGCAGTTTTTGTTTATTCGTCTGGTTCAATTTTTTTTTTTTTTTTTTTTTGCTCAGCGAGTACAACACTCTAGAATTACCATCTCATTGTGTTGTTTGGCTAGCTGTCCAGGTTTAAGCCAAGGCAACGTGTTTTCAAACCAATATTTCCTCCCTGCCACTTTGAATGAGAAAAACACAGAGAAAAGACTGCATATTTGTTTGATGTTGTATTTCGGTTGTAAAGAATTCACCAGTTTGCTTTATTTTATGAAATTATTACTATAACCCGACGAAATGCAACAAAAAATCCCAGAAACAAATTGTGCAATCTACTGTTTTGTGTGTTCTTTGTTTAAAAGTGTATCGTTTGTCAATATAATTTGCTATCTTTCTAACCAGTCAGGTGCAGTTCAATGTAATAATATGTGGTCTGTATAACTAGTCAATGTAACATGTTGTCTGTTTAACCAGTCGGCTACAAGACAAAATAAGATGCTGTCTGTCTGTTGGCAGCACGTCAATGTAATATGTTGTCTGTCTAACTGTTAGCTACAAGACAGGGTAATATGTGGACTGTCCAACTGTTGGCTACAAGACAGAATAATATGTGTCTGTCTAACTGTTGGCTACAAGATAGGGTTATATGTTGTCTAACTGTAGGCTACAAGACAGGGTAATATGTTGTCTAACTGTTGGCTACAAGACAAGGTAATATGTGGTCTCTCTAACTGTTGGCTACAAAACAGGGTAATATGTGGTTAGTCTATCTAGTCAGCTACAAGTTAGTATGATATGGGATCTGTCTATCTAGTCAGCTACAAGTCAGTTAAATGTGTGGTTGGTGTATCTAATCGGGTACAAATCAGAGTAATATGCGATCCAACTGTCGCCTCAGGTACAGGACAAGGTAATATTTGATCTGTCTAACTAGTCAGCTCCAAGACAAGGTAGCATGTGATCTGTCTAACTAGTCCGCTCCAAGACAAGGTAATATGTGATCTATCTATCTAGTCAGCTAACAGAAAAGGTAATATGTGATATGTCTATCTAGTCTGGTACAAGTCACTGTCAGATGTTTTCCGTCTAATAAGTCAGCTACAACTTAATGTCAGAATGTCCCGATAATACTTGAGTGATGTAATTAACATGGTGTTTCGTCATCTTCGTTTAGAAGCTTTCTTGGCTGCACCGTTTTCTGACTTCCGCCCAAGGGTTTCAGACTTCCGCCCAGATCGTCCAATCAACTTGCCAGCTGGGCTGGGGGATTTCGGTCCATTGCGGACACGTGACTTCTTTCTACTGCCAGGGACTTCAGCGATGTGGATCCGGTAATGCGGGAACAGTTCAGCACATTGACACAAGGTTTTTATCCCACATATCTTGATCTCTCTCCGCAGAACGGCGAGCAGCCTGCCGAGAGTGTCGCACAAGGAACGAATCCCGTAACTCCAGCGACGATCCTCGAGGATCCTTGTAAAAATTGAACTCGTGAACCGAGCGACACTGCTGTGGAAAGAACCCATGACCTTCAGAGCGCGAAGCAAACGGTTTGACCACTTTGCAACGAAGACTCCTTCTCCTCCCCCCTCCCCCCCCCCCTTTTGCCCCCCTCGTAAAAAATTGAGATATTGTGAAACAGACAGGTTCTGTATGTCGTTTGGTTTGATATTTTTTGCATGATATTTCGATAACTTCACCTTCAGTTTACTGACTTCACATTACTCGTGTGTCTGGCCCTCCTTCAGTCCGTTGCAAAACTCGAGCCCTCGTAATCAGCAAATATTTAAAAAAAAAAAAAAAAAGGATTAACACGAATTTTTGCAAGCGGCCTTGGATTTCCCGTGTGTTTATGATTTTATAATTTACATTTGCATGTGTGCTTTTGTTTTCCCAAAGTGGCGAATTTCTTAGATCTTTGTTTGACTAATAGTTTGTGTGCCTCTAAAAATTAGAATATTCAGTGGACTGATACACGCGTGGAGATTGTTTGGAAATCGATTCACAAATGCAAGGATGCGTAGTGGTTATTTTGATAGCCTATACCGCATACAATAAAAAAATTCAAAGTCACTGCAGGCCAATGCTATAGATGACCACGTCAGAGTGAAACGCCTATGAAACACGAGCTATTTGATGTTTTGAAAAGTGTTTGTTACTCAGTTAACTGTAAGCAAGCTGATTGTTGGCTTTAAATGTGCGTTTGTTATTTTATTATAATTTTTTTTTTTTTTTACTGCGAATATGGCACAATGAAATCTAAATATTTGTTCACATTAAAAGAATATCTTACAAGGACATGATTATTAACAGTTGCATGCCACATTTTAAAATTTTACAGCGAACGATTACTGTTACAGATTTTAAGTTGGACACAATTTCTGGTATGGACTATAGAACTGCTTTATGCCCGTATAACTTGTCTATGCTGCATTATTTCCTAAGTAATTTCTGTGTTGTTTGTTTCGCTGTTGGCGCATCGGGTATATGATTGTAAAACTTATTGATAGACCAGTCCGACCCTGGTGGGTGATGTTGTTAACACGAAGCCGACCCCTTTTCTTCCCCCACATTACCTAGTGCCCAGGTATTAGTACAAACCTATATTCTCCCAACACTTAAAATCCTCCCTAAAAATCTTATTATGAAATCATAATGACACATCTTTTTATTACATGTATTGATCCCATATTTGTATTCGCCAACACCACCCTTCACGAAGAGAATCTAAATTGCTTCTTTCCTATTAACCCCCTTTCTCCTCGTTCATCAGCAACATCATCATCAATATCATCATCATCAACATCATCATCATCAACATCATCATCATCAGCATCATCATCATCAACATCATCATCATCAGCATCATCATCATCAACATCATCACCATCAGCATCATCATCATCAACATCATCAACATCATCATCAACATCATCATCAACATCATCATCAACATCATCATCAACACCATCATCATCAACATCATCATCATCAACATCATCATCATCAACATCATCAGCATCCTTAAGAGGACATCATTCTGATAAGGGCACGCCTGAAAATCTTTCTTTCTATAAACATTTCTCCAGCCCTATGTGCTTTCATAGCTAATGCATCTTCAGTGTCCTGTATTCAGCTACCTTCTGATTCTGCTTCGTTTTCTAAAAACTTTACCCACAATCCCAGTTCTCTCCAGGCCAAGTTTAATATGGCCCTATATACCTCAGCTTTTGCGACAAGATGCAGTTTATAAGACAGTTTTCTCTTTCTCTGTTACTCGAATGATAATCAATACCAAACAGGGTAACGACCACAAACATATGGCACACTAGCATTCGTCTGCACAGGTGACAGTGGAGTGTATGATAGTGGAGTGTATGATAGTGGAGTGTATGATAGTGGAGTGTATGATAGTGGAGTGTATGATAGTGGAGTGTATGATAGGAGAGTGTATGATAGTGGAGTGTATGATAGTGGAGTGTATAGTGGATAGTGGAGTGTATGATAGTGGAGTGTATGATAGTGGAGTGTATGATAGTGGAGTGTATGATAGTGGAGTGTATGATAGTGGAGTGTATGATAGTGGAGTGTATGATAGTGGAGTGTATGATAGTGGAGTGTATGATAGTGGAGTGTATGATGATGATAGTGGAGTGTATGATAGTGGAGTGTATGATAGTGGAGTGTATGATAGTGAGTGATGTGTGGAGTGATAGTGGAGTGTATGATAGTGGAGTGTATGATAGTGGAGTGTATGATAGTGGAGTGTATGATAGTGGAGTGTATTATAGTGGAGTGTATGATAGTGGAGTGTATGATAGTGGAGTGTATGTAGTAGTGTATGAGTGGAGTGTATGATAGTGGAGTGTATGATAGTGGAGTGTATGATAGTGGAGTGTATGATAGTGGAGTGTATGATAGTGGAGTGTATTATAGTGGAGTGTATTATAGTGGAGTGTATGATAGTGGAGTGTATGATAGTGGAGTGTATGATAGTGGAGTGTATGATAGTGGAGTGTATGATAGTGGAGTGTATGATAGTGGAGTGTATGATAGTGGAGTGTATGATAGTGGAGTGTATGATAGTGGAGTGTATGATAGTGGAGTGTATGATAGTGGAGTGTATGATAGTGGAGTGTATGATAGTGGAGTGTATGATAGTGGAGTGTATTATAGTGGAGTGTATGATAGTGGAGTGTATGATAGTGGAGTGTATGATAGTGGAGTGTATGATAGTGGAGTGTATGATAGTGGAGTGTATGATAGTGGAGTGTATGTAGTGGAGTGTATGGATATTATAGTGAGTGTATGATAGTGGAGTGTATGATAGTGGAGTGTATGATAGTGGAGTGTATGATAGTGGAGTGTAGTGGAGTGTATGATAGTGGAGTGTATGATAGTGGAGTGTATGATAGTGGAGTGTATGATAGTGGAGTGTATGATAGTGGAGTGTATGATAGTGGAGTGTATGATAGTGGAGTGTATGATAGTGGAGTGTATGATAGTGGAGTGTATGATAGTGGAGTGTATGATAGTGGAGTGTATGATAGTGTATGATAGTGGAGTGTATTATAGTGGAGTGTATGATAGTGGAGTGTAGTGTAGTGTATAGTGGAGTGTATGATAGTGGAGTGTATGATAGTGGAGTGTATGATAGTGGAGTGTATGATAGTGGAGTGTATGATAGTGGAGTGTATGATAGTGGAGTGTATGATAGTGGAGTGTATTATAGTGGAGTGTATTATAGTGGAGTGTATGATAGTGGAGTGTATGATAGTGGAGTGTATGATAGTGGAGTGTATGATAGTGGAGTGTATTATAGTGGAGTGTATGATAGTGGAGTGTATGATAGTGAGTGTATGATAGTGGAGTGTATGATAGTGGAGTGTATGATAGTGGAGTGTATGATAGTGGAGTGTATGATAGTGGAGTGTATGATAGTGGAGTGTATGATAGTGTATGATAGTGGAGTGTATGATAGTGGAGTGAGTGTGGAGTGTATAGTGGAGTGTGTAGTGATAGTGGAGTGTATGATAGTGGAGTGTATGATAGTGGAGTGTATGATAGTGGAGTGTATGATAGTGGAGTGTATGATAGTGGAGTGTATTATGGAGTGTATGATAGTGGAGTGTATGATAGTGGAGTGTATGATAGTGGAGTGTATGATAGTGGAGTGTATGATAGTGGAGTGTATGATAGTGGAGTGTATGATAGTGGAGTGTATGATAGTGGAGTGGAGTGTATGATAGTGGAGTGTATGATAGTGGAGTGTATGATAGTGGAGTGTATGATAGTGGATGATAGTGGAGTGTATGATAGTGGAGTGTATGATAGTGGAGTGTATGATAGTGGAGGTAGTGAGTGTCATGGACAGGGAGTATCATAGGTAGGGAGTGAGTGTCATGACAGGGAATATCATAGGTAGGGAGTGAGTGTCATGGACAAGGGAGTATCATAGGTAGGGAGTGAGTGTCATGGACAGGGAGTATCATAGGTAGGAAGTGAGTGTCATTAACAGGGATATCATAGGTAGGGAGTGAGTGTCATGAAACAGGGAATATCATAAGTAGGGAGTGAGTGTCATGAACAGGGAGTGTATCATAGGTAGGGAGTGAGTGTCATGAAACAGGGAGTATCATAGGTAGGGAGTGAGTGTCATGGACAGGGAGTATCATAGGTAGGGAGTGAGTGTCATGAACAGGAATATCATAGGTAGGGAGTGAGTGTCATGTCATGGACAGGGAGTATCAACAGGGAATATCATAGGTATAGGTAGGGAGTGAGTGTCATGAACAGGGGAATATCATAGGTAGGGAGTGAGTGTGAACATGAACAGAGAGTATCATAGGTAGGGAGTGAGTGTCATGAACAGGGATATCATAGGTAGGGAGTGAGTGTCATGAACAGGGAATATCATAGGTAGGGAGTGAGTGTCATGAACAGGGAATATCATAGGTAGGGAGTGAGTGTCATGGACAGGGAGTATCATAGGTAGGGAGTGAGTGTCATGAACAGGGAATATCATAGGTAGGGAGTGAGTGTCATGAACAGGGAATATCATAGGTAGGGAGTGAGTGTCATGAACAGGGAATATCATAGGTAGGGAGTGAGTGTCATGAACAGGGAATATCATAAGTAGGGAGTGAGTGTCATGAACAGGGAGTATCATAGGTAGGGAGTGAGTGTCATGAACAGGGAGTATCATAGGTAGGGAGTGAGTGTCATGAACAGGGAGTATCATAGGTAGGGAGTGAGTGTCATGAACAGGGAGTATCATAGGTAGGGAGTGAGTGTCATGAACAGGGAGTATCATAGGTAGGGAGTGAGTGTCATGAACAGGGAGTATCATAGGTAGGGAGTGAGTGTCATGGACAGGGAGTAT